TGCCCAAGGACACAACGACCGATACTGTCCGAGCCGGGGCTCGAACCGGCAACCTTCTGATTACAAGACGAACTGCCAACTCTTGAGCCATGATTGCCCACTTTCTACTTCTTCTCACAGCTACTCTCTTTAGAAATCACCACTGCAGATCATCTGCATGCATCTCACCCTATCTCACACATCCTCCTCTGTGAAATTAACTCTCTGCATATCCTTCTTCACTACATCCATGAACCTGGTCTGAGTTCTCTTTTCCTCCTGCCAGGCAGCTCCATATTCAACCTCCTTTGTCCAGTATATCCACTATCCCTCCTCTGCATATGTCCAAGTCATCTCAGCCTCACCTCTCTCTTTGTCTCTTTGTCAACCTGAGGTGTCCTCCCTATGTACTCAATTCCACCGTCTACAAACCGTCTCACTACCATCTCACTACCATCTTGCACACCTTCCCTTTCACTCTTTCTGCTATCCTTCTGTCACAAATCACTGACACCTATCTCCAATTGCTCTACCCTGCCTGCACTCGCTTCCTCACCTCACTTGTGAACTGTCCCCTACTTTAGATGGTTGATCCCATTTAAACTCATCCACCATCACTTCCACATATGATCATCATGTTTGACTTGGCCATGATTTGACATCAGATGCCCTTCCTGATGCAACAATCCCCATTTATCCAGGCTAGGGCCTGACACTAAAAGAACACTGGCTTTGTGTTAGACTTTCAGTCTAGGTTTATAGTTTCACCAGCTTGATATTAAGGAGGCCAATGTGAAATGAGCTGGCCCTGGGGGTGGACATAACAGCAAAAAGCTTAATACAGTTATGTAAACAACACTAACACTCAAACACAGTCAAAGACAAACTTCATACAAAACACTTAGTAATGGAAGCAGCTAACAGAACAATACTAAAAATTACTGAAATTGATCGGTATTTATGAAGTAAGCAAAAACATTCTGTAAAAAATACAGTTTTAAGTTTTTTGTTCCTGTCCTGTTGTTGACTTGTGTCAAGGAACACTGATTAATACTGGTGAAAGCCAAAAACAACTATAAATATACTGTACATATATTTCTTTTGCCATTTACTCATCCCTCAGTGCTGTCTTTTACATATTTTTAAACTATATTTTGAATAATAGGACATCGCATGAATTAGGACATTTAGAGAGCACAAGACATAAACACAGCCGCTAAAGAAAAGAGGGGTGAATATGAGTGTGAGTGCTCTTATTTCTGTTCAGTCCGGAGCAGTGTCAGTATTATGCACAGGTCTTGGAGGTCCAGGCCCACGCAGTCAAGTCACTGTGGCCCTTAGCTAAATTGTACTGAAACTTTCAACTGTAAGTTACACTAATTCATACAATTTGGCACTGAAAAATACAAACCACATCACCGCCAGGTTTTTGCAGTGCAAACTCAAATTAGGTATTTGGTTTACAGTAGTTAAGTGTTTCTGCAGCAACTAAGTGAAGAGGACACTGAAATGGATGGGCAGGCCGGACTTTGGGAAGATCATTCATCAGCTTGCGCAGCTAGTTTTAAAGCATGGCCCTACTTGAAAATTGCAAAACAAATGTTACACACGGCACACTTACACTCAATTGTCCTAGTGTGCGGTGAGCTCACTGATCTACTTCTGCATCCAAAGCAAATTTTCTCTATGAGTTGTGTTTTATATGTAACCTATTTACTTGTAATGGTAAATAGGCTGTAGTCAACATTATTTACACATTGGTACTGTATATCTGTCTATATATACATAAACACACAGACGTACATTACGTGTTTTGTAAGTATCTTTATGACTGCATTATTGTACTTGTACTATTGTGACAGGAATATTCTTTCTGGCTCCAAATTATTTACCATCATTATTATTCATGAAAGACATTTTTCATAGATTATAGGCCAACAAGTCATTTATACCTTATTTTTATTTTTATACTAATTTTGAAGAGCATATACCGGAAATCACAAGACCTGTGCTCTTTTTAAGCTAGCAACAGCTCACTTAACTGTTCAGCCTTAATAAAGCTACATAGTTAGCTTATTAGCTAAAGTTACCCAAAATACTACACTGCCTTTCTCCTCCTTGGTTCATTGCTGCCTTGGTATCATTTACTGCAGGCTCCAACATCGACCTTGCCGGCGTGTTGCTGTCCTTTGTCACTTTTCCGAGCAAACTGTGGCTGGTGAGTCTGGGTATTTTTACTTTCAAGATGGACCGAGGCTTTGCGCGTTTGTCTTTGCGGCGCTTGTTCCCAGTCTTCTCCCTCGGGGTCTGAGAAAGGGACTCTGTCTTATCCGATTCAGTTCTTTGACTCGAGCTCTGCTGTGACCCAAACTGGGGGACATACACAGTCTTGAGTCGCCGCATCTCTTTTTTTCACACCTTCTCACACTTGACGGATGACACTTTGTGCTTACTCTGCCTTTTTCTGTATTGTGCTTGTAACGACCAGCAGGTGGCAGTGTTATTCGAAAAATGTGGATGCCGAAAATAGCCAGAATACTATCTCTTGAATTAACCCTTAGATTTATCCACACAAGAATGATTCTAATGTTTGAAGTATTTTGTATTTTTTAACTTTTTTTAAAACATTTTTAAAATGGGAAAAGGAAAAAAAACACAACAGCAACAGAACGATGTCAAAATCCGTTTTGTGTGTTTGTGTGAGACAGTATATACATGTGTGTGTAACTGTCCAGACAATTCCTCTCTCTTTTCTAGCCTTTTCCCTCACTGAATGTAGTTGTGACAACCACCTGTTTCAGGCTGTAATCCCTACACACAGGTACGTTGCATTTCCCACACCAACTTCTGACTTTACAATCTTCATTACTTGAAATTTTGTTCTCTTGGCTGGCCCTGTCTGCTTCTTTTCCTGTGGCCAAGTTGTGTTTTTTCTCATCCCACAGCTTCCCATTGCTTCAGTGATCGATGTTTGCAGTTGGGAACAACTATCCAGTCGACTTCTCATATGTGGTGTGGCAAGCTCCTTTGAGAGCTCAGTGAAAAAGATCCGTCATGGATTTACAATACCATTCTTGAATTTGGGGCGCTTAGCCGTGGAAAAGGTGTAGGCATTCAGGGTGGCAGCGTCAAGTTGTACAACAGCACCACGGGCCACCTCTAGGTTCTACACTGATGTTGCATCATGTGTTTCTGAATCTACTGGACAATGTTTTCCTTCAGATTCTATTGAATTTGCCTCCCTGTAAATCATTCCAAATACTGCAAAGAGGATCCTTGCATCACAAACCCAGAAGATCTTCTGGTCATACTTGATGAGCTTGTTTTGCATGTGCAGTAGACATTTGAAACCTCTCCCTGTAATGCACAATCACTTCTGATGAATCGCTGTCTGAATGCTGAATGAATGCTGTCTGTCATTTGTAAAATAATCTTAAGGACCACAAAGACTGTGGTCCAATTTTTTTTTTTAAATATATAAATCTCTCGCTCTCTCTGACAGTTACAAATCTTAAGTTCCCATGAAATTCCATAAGAAATGAATGCAGGTCATTGACCCACTTATGGACGTTTGGAGTATTTTTTAAAAACAAAAAAATGTTTAAAGTACATAAAAAGGTTAGAGGAATAGCTGGAACATGAAACTTAATTAGATGTTGCAAGATAATAAATACAGGTTTAGCCCAAGGACAAAAATCATTACAGTCTGGAAATTGTAGTTTGTCTAGATTTGCAGTTTGCACTAACAATCTTCGATGCACCCATAATGTTTGCAAATTTTTTACTTGAATAAATTTAAAAAGAAAACAAATGCAGCTACACAGGCAAAGATTTTCAGGACAGAAGACTAAACAAGCAACAGTGTTTAAATACGGCTTAA